TCAACCATCTAGTTGATACCATAGCTTTCGCTAATTATGAGTTGATTTCTATCAAGTTATAATCAAACATGATGATTTCATTATAAATATATACGGTTTTTGAAATATTATTTTAAATGTAATTTGTATTCAAAAAGAACTCAAAATATTTCCAAACAATCAAAAAAATTTCGAATATTAACGTTTCTAAAGTGTTTTCTAATTTATAAACCGTGAATTATCTTTTTTTAGGTAAATATCACATTTACCTAAAATTCACATTTATTTTCACAGGAAAATATTAGAAGGCGTATTGAAGACTTATCTATTTGTAACTCGTTCTTGTACAAAATGCCATTCAGTTTTTCAGAATTCTAAATCAACTTTATGAAATTCTGGATAATCTTATAGCCATTTTTAATATAAGTCATCCTCGACCATTTAATCCCCTTCTGCATTTATTTTTTTTGGTATCGTTGAATAAAGATTATAAAGAACATTGTGTGTCTGAAAATCTATGTGAACTTAGCAGATTCTTTCTGCTTAAAAACTTTACTTTTCAAAGTTTTTTGAAGACAAATTGTTTTAATGAATATAATGTGAATTCCAATCATATTCCTCAACACCTAATCCATCAAATGATCCATTAATATCGATGCTTTATATTAGTCTTTGTCTAATTTTTTTTTTATTCGTAGCTTAATTCATCCACAGTGGTGGAATATTCTTTATCTTTGGTTAAATTCTTTATCTTATCTTTATTTAATCTCACTATTGCGGCTTCCATATGTTTGACAGCTTAAACTTTACCTATCCCGCAGGAAAAATGGTATTGCTTCTTCAGTAAATTAAGTTAATAAGCTGCCATTGGCCATTTTTTGTTCCACCAGCTATTCGTAGAAAATTCACTATTAGCTATTATTAGCTATTCGCTAAAAGGAAATGATTTTGTGATAAAGCCACTTGATGATGAAACAGGATCCACTCAGATTTTTCATAGGTGAGTTATCTCGTGCGTATAATGTCTGAAAAAAGAGTCTAATCAACAACTACTCGGTTATTTCTCTGCCCTCTAATTTAAGGTTGTAATTTTTGGTCAACAATTTTCCAACTAGCAAATTTTATGACAGGATGACTCTAACCTTTTTTTGAGTGTTCAACAAGTGCATTTATCGCCTTACTGGATCGCCATGATCGCCAAAGTTGAGAAAAATTTTTTTTGCTGTGCGGTCGTTTCAAAAAATATCCTCGATTTATTTCTGTGAATTTATTTTCCATTTCTTATTACAATTCAGTCAAGTTTTCTTAAACTTTTAATTTTTTTTTTTAACCGAACAACGATTTAAATAAAATAAATTAAAATTAAATCAATTAAGTCAATCAATTAAATTAAATCATCAATTAAATTATAAATTAAGTCAATTAAATTGTATAAATAATATACATATATTTTATATATATATATATAATTTTAAAAATATATATATATATTTTTAAAATTTATTTGCCTTTTTATTTTTATTTTATTCAAAGTTTCATTGTCTATTTATTATTTTCTTTAAATTTAATTTTTTTTTGCTTTTGGCAGGAGTAAACCTGCTATTATGTTAAAAATCCGGATGGATGCTGGGAACCCACCTATAACTCTATCCCCAAGTGACTCTGTGGTGAAAGGGTCAGATACACTTGATAAGGGGTCAGCGTCTCCCGACGCGCATGATACTCCGAGTCCGGTGGTACATGCGATAAGTATAAAACCCGGGCTTAAAGCGATCCCAAGGCTGGCAAATGAAATGTGCTCCCAAGACAGGGTAATTGCTCGGAACCTATCAAGGGAAACGGCCTTCTGCACGCGCGGCAAGATATTAGCCGTATCAGCGTGGAACGTCAGAACGCTTATGGACGCTGCAAGCCAAGCGATCATTGTCCACACCCTGTCTAAGTATCGTGTGGATATCGCTTGCTTGTCGGAGGCCCGCCTTCCTCACTTTGAGTCTCGAATAATTATTAATCCTGGTTCAGAACAGAGATACTGGCTATATCACTGTGATGCTTCGAATAACTCGGGACGAAATGACGTAGCGAATGTCATGTCTGAAAAGGCATATTCCGCTTTGTTTGAGTGGATAAGGTAAACGACCGTAGGGCCTATGCTTTTAAGGGTGAGTTCTGCAATATCTCAGTCATCAGTGCCCAACTCTGTCGGCAAATGATCGAGATAAAGAAGATAAAGAAAATAAGTTCTATGCGGAACTTCAACTGCTAACAAAGTCTCTCCCGAAACATGACATGATCATAATGGGGGGAGACTGGAATGCTCGCGTAAGTCATAATGCAGCTGCGATGACCTCATCAATTGGCAAATATGGTATCGGAGACCGGTGTGCCAATGGGGAACGTCTTCTTCGTTATGCCGAAGAGCATGAAATTTTTGTTATTAATGCTAATTACTAATCTAATTGCTTGCGGTATCATAGAAAACATCATGTGGAACTCCACATAAAATTGACAACTCGCAAAAAACAATATCACCCAAGATCCTTCAACTATCTCAAACTAAAAAATTCGGGAATAGTGAGGGCATTTCAAACCGAATTATTGAAGCATCTCAATGATATAAATATCAATGATTTTTCTGGAAAAGCAAATGAATACTGGTCCAAAGTAAGGGAATGTCTCCGAAAATCAGGCATTTCCACGCTATGACATACTAGTAGAAAGTGCGCTAGTTGGGTATCGGAAGTAACTGTCCAATTGCCTGAAAAAGCTGCCAAAGCAGAAATGTCAAGTGATCCTGACTACCGGGTGTTTCGAAGATTTGCAACGAAAGCAGCAAGAAATCACTATTGAAATAACATGGCCTCAAGAATGGAGGCGGCGGCTCGATTAGGCAACAACAGGAAACTATTCTGCTTCTTCATAAAGCAACTATGACTCGGTGACTCGGGGAACGATCAGTGAAATGATAAAATACAGCAATGGCGTACTAATTAAAAGTATTAAGGATCGCCTCATAAGATGGAAAGAATTCTTTGAGGCCAAATTTAACCATGAAGCGCCATCTGTTGCCCCTGATATATACGAAGCATACGTTTGCAATTGCGAGCCTCCAACAGAAAAAGAAATAATTTCAGTTATTCATGAGCTTAAGGCCAATAAAACTCCAAGAGAAGATGGTCTTCGGGCTGAGCTTTTCAAATGCTGCCCATCGTCCTTCATAACGCACATTCAACAAATTTACTCTTTAGTATGGAAAAAAGAAATATTTCCAGATGATTGGAGCAAAGCAGTTCTGCTCCCAATTCTCAAGTGATAGGATATACTGCGACAATTATCGAGGAATCAGCCTACTCAGCAAAACGTCTCAGCAAAAATTTTTGTTTCCCTGCTACTTAACAGACTTATGGAAGTACGAGACAGTAGGGTGCGCCGTAATCAAGCTGATTTCAGAGCGCGGTTGTACTAACCAGATATTCACGTTAAGAAGGATGTTGGAACATCGCTTCAAATAAGCGAGAACTTCTATTTCGCAAAAATATAATCCTGTGTTAAATAAAATAACCACTCTTTTTACCTTGCAGAATTGTAGAATTTAAGTAGTTTCACTCTTGCTAATTACGAAAATAGCTTTTATATTTTGCCAAATTTGAACAAAAAATTTAAACCTGCATATATATGAATAATTGTGAAACTTTTCATGCTGACATAAACATGTTTAATCCTTAAAATTGGTATAAATAATCTGCGGTTATTTCTACTTAATCTCGTTTTTCAATCTCATTCAGTATTTTGACAATTCCCAGCTGAATAAATTGGTTGAAGTTAAAGCAAAATAATGAATAATTTAGAGCAGCCATAAATTGTATTTCATTGAATTCGTTCTCATTCATTTTCTTAAAGCTACTGAGTAATTGATCAGGTAAATATTAGGTAAGTATTCAGTAATACAATTCGCCCCACCAAAGAATCCATTATTTCTTTTTGTCTTATATCGTTCTTTGCTTCGATTCTATGTAAAGTGAACCCATTAAAAGAATAAATTAAAGATATCAAGATTATTATAAGATTATTCAAAAAAATCTCATTTTGACTAAAAAAATAGTTCGTTTTCGAATTAAAAAAATTTATCTCCAAATTTGATTTGCCTAAACTGAAATGAAATCTTACGTTCAATGTTTTTTAAAATTTGTTAATTTTCTAAACATTTACTAAAAACATTTTTCATCTCTAACTTTCCAAACAACAGTAATAATTTGTTTTACAGATTTTGCACCTTAATATACTAAATTCAAACAAATATTTAATACTTTGCTGAGCAAACTATCCGGAAACCAGAAGCTTTCTCATAAATCACTAGACAAATATCTTTATTCTTTGAATAAAATCTATTGAAAATATAAATAATGTTGTCAGTTCAATGAATCCTAGTAATAATAAATAATATCCACATTAAGCACAAATGATTGCCGTCTAAATAGCCAAAAATTTTCATTTTAACTGAAGCATATATCTGATATCATTGTTTCTCATTGCTTAAGCCCGTTCTTGGTTTAAAATTTAAGAATTTAAAAATTTGAAAAAGAAGTTTTGCTGGCGTGGCCAAATTTAAATATTGTATAATATAATAAACCTTATTTAGAGAGATTGTCTAAATTAGATAATTTTTCCAATATGAGCGGCTGATGATCATTATTTTCTTGATTATTTCTTAATTGAGAAAAGAAGGAAGATGAGAATAGCCCAGACAAGTTTCTTATTTTCATAAAATTCGATTCATCGTTTATATCCACTCTTTGTTGCCTTTACAGTGGATTTTTTTTACTATTTTCAAATTCATTTATTTATTTATTTATTTCTTTGTTTAGAATACTTCATATAAATATCCAAAGATGAATGGAATAAGCGATTAAAGATTCTAAATTAAATCAAATGCTTTTTCTATGAACTTTATTTTATGAACAAAATTTTCAATGATTTTGTAGCAAACCGATCAAAGAAAGAATTCTAAGACAAATTTCGATATGGACATTGAAGTACCATCATGTAGTATTTGTTTGGGTTCATCTGATGAGCAGTATTTGGTGAGTTTATTACGAGGTACATAATACTATAAGCACTTCATTCAAAATCAACTTCATATTGGAATAAAGATTTTATTCCAACTGCGTTAAGTGACTCAGCAAAAAAATAGTTCGAAGTTGGCTCTAATAATAAATTCAATGTAATTACTCTATAATTCTTAGAAAAAACATAAAAAATAGATAAGGATTAGGGACGGCTTCAAACAAAGAACCCTATTATCTGATAAAACTTGCTGCGTCACCCATTTTTGTCACTCTAGCCCATTTTATAAAATTAGCGACAGAAAGATTGGCAATAAGCTATTGTTAGAGATCATATTTCCAATTTCTCCAATAAATGATTTCTCGTAGGGCTTCCGCTCTAGTAATCAGTAGGATTACTAAGACCAGAAATTATGGAAAAAAAAGAATCCTGAAAAAAAACATGAGTAAAGTGAAGAATACGATTAGTTTATATTATATCTTTTTTTAGCAGTATAATCTAATCGTATCGGGCATTATATTACCAATCGTTGGTTTTATTGGATTAATCGGTAATTTTCTCGTGGTAATCGTTTATGGAAGTTATGAAAGTAGGAAACATTCAACAAATATTTATCTAGCTGCACTGGCTGCCAGCGATTTTTGTATGATATGCACTGCGCTCGTACTTTACGTTTTAGAAGCCTGGAGACATCACAGCCATCAAAGTAAGTTTTCTTTTGATTATATTCACTTTGACATGATTGATTTTTGGATTTGGATGAAAAATTGGTGTATTAGCAAAATTGCTTAAGTAATCCTTAACAAAAAAATTCGAAGACGTACATAAAATATTGAAAATAATTCTATTCACCGTGCTGACAATATATATTTACAATATATCATACAATTTACAATATATATGCTGATTACCCAATTATTTTGGATCCAATTTTAATGATATGATTTTTGAATGATCACCAATTTTCAGTAATTGCTACAATGTATGGTAGAAGTACTCAGTATACTTTCCCAATAAGTACAATTTTGCAAACCACTTCCGTATATTTTTGCGTGATAGCTGCAGCAGATTGTTTTGTGAGAGTAGTATTATCGTCTAAAACAAAGGAAGCCATTTGCACGCCAAGGTGCTCAAGTTTTCCATTACAACTCATTAGTTGAAAAAAGCGTTTTTTTTTTTATTTTGTGACAAATTTAATTTCCGTTTGATCGAATGATCGAAATGGTCGATATGTTTCTGTGCAATGAAGTTTCATGAGTTGGATTTCTCTCCTGACTGACTTGAATAAATCTGTTATCGAAAATGAAACTGAGTGCTGCTGAAGTGCTCTCATTTGTGTTTCCATGAGCTAATGATTTCAAATTGGAAAGATTTGCCTCAAACCATCTGCAAAAGATTGTCAAAAAAATGAAAAATTGCCGAGAGAATTCTTGATTGAAATGCTTCCAATCACACAAGGATTATATAATGGCTTTCAATCTAAATTGAAATCAGGATAAAAACAGGAAAAATGCATTGGTAAAAATAAAAACGAAAATTGAAAAAGTTTCGAAAGTGATGAAATTATGTAATTTGCTATTAAATATTTTGAAAATCAAAATCTATCATTCTCATTAATAAATTTACAATTATTGCACGAATGTCTTAGCAAGCGTTTAATTGAATTATTAATTAGTAAGAGTCGAATTTACGCCCATTCCCCATCTTGGACCTCAAACCAAATCCCACTTGGTTTTCTTCAGTTCTTTTCTTTCATTAGGCTTTATGTTTGTACAGCAAAATTTATTTCTTGTACAGCTAAAAAGAAGTTTTTAAAATTTGCAATTCCGACTTTTTTATTATTTTTGAGATTTTTCATTATTTTCATTATTATCTATTCTCAAGCGAGATTAGCGATAATTTAATAAATCTTATTGTTATTTCAGGTTCGCCAAAATAACCGTTTTGTGCATTACAGCGATTTCATTCGCTTATAACGTGCCACATTTTTTTGAACTAACATCTATTATTTGTTTTGATGATAGAAGGAATAATAGTTTATCAGTGCAAGTGTGCCCAACTGGTAGAAATCCATGCATTTTTATTTCATACATTTGAATTTCTTAAGAATCAATTTTACCTTCGGATTTCAAAATTACACATATATTCATCAATTTCCATTATCTATTACCCATTACTAATTGTTATTATATTCATTAAAATTTTTATCCAAATAAAACACGATAAATAATCAATCAAAACTGCTTTTAATTAATATTTTATTATTACTTTGTGAATATTACTTTTAAACTTTTTCCAGAGAGAAAAATAGTTAATCAGAAAGAATAATGTAATTTGTTTGTTGGATACAATGAAGAATTAAAATAAAATACAGTTTTTGGCTTATCAAATTTTTTCTCTAATTAGGCATTAAGCATTAGAACTTCGGTTCGAATCCGCCGATACATCACTCGTTATTGGGCCTAATGGAGAAGAGCAAAGAGCATTAGAATGCCTCAGTTGATTGTTGCTCAACGCCAATGCTGGGGTTCTGTTCCCCACAGGAATAAACATGTCCAAAAATCTGGGTGATGCTGGCGACTCACTTGCACCTGTACTTTCATCGCCAAGGGAGTCCCTGACATATTTGCCTGGTGGGTCGAGCCAGCGTGAGGAGTCTAATCAGCAACGGTGAATACTTTTCAAAAAAAATGGTTAAAAAGAAGCCTTAATGATCTATTATTTATGGAACAACTGGAAAGAAACATTAAGAAATTGCAATTCTGACCATTTTTGGTCCAAGCAAGACCATCGATCATCTGCCAAAATCATTATCAGTTCAGAAAAATATTTTAATCACATAAATTTGATTTTAGACTTTCCTCTACTATATTCATTTATTCTTCAAATTTCCGGATGGAAAAATTTAGTAAGCATTGGAAGGAATGGGTTTTTTTTAGATTTACGCACAAATGTGTTATATTATCAATTATACTATACATATATGTATACAATATTTATGGCAGTTGGACCATTATTGATAATTGTTATCCTCAATGTTTTCGTTGTAACAGCTGTTTTCAAGAAAGGAGCATCCGGTAATTTTTATTACTGTTCGCTTTATTCGACGATTTGTCGAAAAACCATAATATAATCAAAATAAGGAAGAATATAAATGAATATTAAAAAAGAGAATTGTCGTCTAAATCAAACTTTATTTCCACATATTTTTATGTAAAATTTCTCTATATTTTTAAGAGCTACTATTCATTAATTAATCGATTGCTAATTAAGAATGCAATACTTTCTCTTCCTCTAGGAAAGTGATTAGAATTGATAATTACTCATGTTAGTGATAAATTCTAAAAGAAAAATGAGATAAGAAGATAACACTTATATGAGATAAGAGATCATAAGAAAATATTTTTAATATGATTTAAAAGCACTGTTATGGCTACGATGACAATAGAATTTTATATAATTCTATCGCTTAATTCGGGTCAAAAACTCAATTCTAAACCGAAATCTTTACGATATTCAACCTCCAAATTAGGTGCAAAACAAGTGGTTATTGCTCAGATCATAATATCAAACATATCGGTTCTGCTCCTTCTCCGGCAACCATGCCAGTAAAAAATCCGAAGGGCATTTGATGCACTACTCATTGGTTCTCTGCCAAGATTATCCAACTAAAAGTGAGTAGAATGTGCCAGAAATTATAAGCTCTGATCACTTAACATGAAATTTAAAAGTAGCCAAGAGAATTCAAATCTTTTTCTGATCTTTAGATGATACTGATACACTCAGCTTGATTCTTGTTGTATTTATGTTTATTTTTTGCAATTCAGCTGCTTTATTGGTAAATTTCATTGAGATGGTCTTCGCTGAAAAGGTTTTTTTTATTTCACAATTTTTTATACAAATTTAATTTTTTATATAAATTTTTATGTAAATTTAAAAATTATTTTGATTCTATAATTTTATTAAAAATTCTGCAATTTCATATTTATTTCTATTATCGACTATCAAGTTATCCTTGAATCTACGGTTTTTTCTAGTTGTTCATTATTGTTTCTTATCATTATTTTTAATTTTTTGCAGGTTTTTCTTTAACATATTCCATATCTAATGTATATTATTAAATATTAAATAAAATGCAAATTTTTACTGGAAATGAAATAACAATACTAATAATAACAATCTTGATGATTGGTGATAGTAATAGTAATGATGAAATAAAAATAATGTCAATAATGGGATAATAATAATAATATTAATAATAATAGAAGTGATAGCATTAAGAATAATGGCAGTGATAACAGTAAAAATAAAAGCAACGACAATAATAGTAATAAAAATAATGGGTAATAAATAGTAATAAAATAATGGTAATAAATAGTGATAATGGCAATAATAAAATAAAAAAAAACAATAATAAATTTATTGCTAATAAAAAAAAATTTTCTAAATTAACTTAAAACCTGGTGTTGGATCTACAATCACTGAAAATTTTTTCATGTTAGTCGATTAATTTTGCGATGGCATATTTGCTAAATGTCTTTCCTTCCATTTCATTTTCATATTTTTGTAAATTTTTCCTTTTATTTTAGCACTTTAATGATGAAGGCACATCATTAATTGTTCTGCGGCTATTTTGATTGCAACTTGGCTATAGTTTCTAGAATGTATTTCCTTTAAGCTTCTCTCTAATATGTTGCTTATATTTTCTTCCAAGTTGCAATCATAAGCATTTTAAATCTGTCGAATTATTGCTTAGGAAAGAGAAATTCATATTTTCAAAAAATTTGCGATGATAATGTTTGCATAAATTGCAGATTTATCATATACTGGTGTATTTGGTGGATACGTCGAATTTATTGGTGGTCATCAACTGCACCGCCAATTTCTTTTGTTATTTTTTCTTTGGAAATAGCTTTCGTAGGACTTTAAGGAAAATTCTATTTGGACCGCGTGTAAAAGAAAATATTGTATGGAGTACTCCAGCGATTTCATTGTGCAACCAGTGAACACAATCATCCCATGAGCCATTAAGATGATAGTAATTTTTGAAAGATTTTATAATAATATTTAGAAGATCATTGGTTCAAAATCAACCAAAAAATAAAAAATTTCTTTAATAACCAATAAAATAATAAAGTAAATAGTCAACAAACTTTAGACATCTTTAAGCTTTAATTTAAAATTTCGATTCATTTTGACTATTCATTTTGGTTACCTGTTTATTTTAAATTTTGACGGTATTTTAAAATAGACGCGGCATAAGCTGTGTGCTTAAAAAAACAAAATTAATAAAAGTTGTTGATTAATAAAATTAATAAAATTAATAAACTGAAGTAGCCAATTTCTAAGCGTGTATATTTTTATTATCTCACCATCAATATTTTTTTCTTTTTTTCAAACGGCAAAAAATTCACTGTGTGAAAATTCTTCGGATTTATTGATAAAAGTGTAAAGCACTCAGCTATTAACTGATTTCTGGATTGAAAGTCAAATGACGAATTGCCTTACACTCGTAGATATAAAAAAATTGAAAAAATAATTCATCGTAAGTGCGAACTACATTAATTAAACTACTTTTATTCCGATAAGTTGTTAAGTTGTTAACAAAAAAATATTCGTGTTCGGTTGCAAATAATCAATCGTTTGTCTCCATTTTTAAGACGATAAATTATTGATAATTCATTGTAAAAATGAATTGCACTTGGAAGTTTCAAACACACACCTTACAGCAATCATTCAGTAAAATAAAGATGTCCAGAAACGAGAAAAGATGCAAATGATATAATTTCACACTAAAAAGAAATTTTTAGGACTCTAATCGAACATTATAGATCTTTTTGTTGAAGTTTTAATAAATAGTCTACACATAGATTTAAAAGGCTTTTCACTATTTTTTGCCAGGTGCCAAATCAAATAAAAATCCTGCCACAGCTAAAGCTCTCCAAAAGCATTGATAAATAATGAAGTAATAATGCATATTTTCCAAAATAAAGATCGAACGATTCGGTTCCATACAATGATTTATCTGAAAATGTATCAAATTTAACTTGGAGCAGCTCTTTAAAGATAAAATATTGGAAACGAGGAAATATTGTATGGAAAACATTATTCAAGCCAGTGTAAGACCTAAGCATAAATCATCTTTATGATTCTGATGGTAAAAGCCATCATAAAGCCACTGGTTTTTAATTTAAATTGAAATTGATTCCTTCAATGGACACGATTTTTTAAAAAGCAATCATCCAAATAATCAAAATAATTAAAAATCAAAGTGATGGTTGGCTTTAAATTTTTCAAGATTTTTCCCGTCATATTTTTAAAAGTCATATTTTCGAATTCGAATAAATTTTTTTTTTGAGCGAATTTTATAATATATAATCATCGCTAATTATCAAAGTTTGGAACGAATTTAGAATCATAAATTCTATTTCAACTTTTAACTTAAGAGATAGCACACTTCTACTCAAATGAATCGGACAATAAGATTTTATTAAATCGTTCATCGTATCAGCTAAGATAAAGCATAATGAAAGCAGAAAACATGTCCAAGGCATCGAATAATCGAGATCTAAATAATTTAAACTAATTTTGATTAAAAATTGAAGTAATATCAAAGAAAATTGCTGAAAATGATTAATCTAATTTACCTATTTATTGAAAACACTTTTGAGACCAAACAGGTCAAGTACTTGGATAACTTGACCCATGATAAGAAAAATAATACAGAGCGGAAATAACAGCGTTAAAACAATAAAAGAGGAGGAATATAGAGGTAAAAACAAAAAAACCAAAAAAAATTTTTCTTACCTTGTTCGACCTAGCTTGATTATGCTTTTTTTAAAATCTTCATGAGCCAAATCCATATTATTAAATTGTATAGAATGAGTCTCTCTAAGCTTTTTTTTTTAATCTAGATTGCATAATAGTCAAAATCCTGAAGCAAGGAAATTGTTTTAAAAAACCCCCATTATTACTATGTATTGACAATTGATAATAATATCAACATTTTATCTAATTCTATTATAATTTATATAATTCTAATATATGCCTGTATAGTTTACTATGATGGTTCCAAAGTCTGTACGATGCACTTGGAAGATCGGAGAATTCTTACAAATCGACGCAAACAAAATGATTCATTGGCAAAGTGCCTTTAGATAGATATAAGACGCCACATATCAATTGAAAAAGCCCTGATCTCCCGTTAATTTAGGATAATAAAATTCAGTTAACATGTTTGAATAATACTGATATTCAGTATCAGATCTTGGTATAGTCATGAGAATTTAACCTAGGCAGCAAGCTAACAGCTAAATTTATGATTTTAGCTTAAATTTTTACGTAATGAATTTAAATTACTCAAATCTTTATGGAAAACTAGTAACAAGCTGGGCTTTCTCATTTGTTTCCAGTTATTTACTAGAGTGTACTGGAATCAGAGATGTGGTTCTAACCCTTTATTCTGTATCTTGCTCAAAGAAGAAAGCAAAAATATAAAGTGATTTTAATTCAACCAGTTAAAAGTCAAGGCCAAGAATCCTCAAATTTTCATCAGTATTTATAGTTTAACTTTATAGTTAAAATATACCTTATAGTTACCTTATACAACATAAATTTTTATTTAGTAGATTTATAAATTTTTAACCAATTGATTTAAAAATGAATTTTTATCAAAAATTCTATGATGCTTAAGCTAAGAAGAAGTTGTGAAGAAAAAATAAATTTTCCGCGCATATTTTCATGATATAAATGTACAAAAAAACACGTTAAAAATGAAATGTATGGAAAACTCACTTGTTTCAACATTATTGTCTGATAAGAAATCTAATCTTAATAACCAGTAAAAGCAATGAAATGATAAGCGCTGTTAGAAGAAGGAATTCGTGTTTACAGAAACTGCAGATCTACATTAATACAAATGAAATTTCACCTAAAGCAATTATAGGAGTGATCTTTTCTCAGATGATTGGCGATTTTTATGATGATTTCAACCAAATAAGTAAGTAAATAAGTAAAAATGAAAAAAATTTTATACCAATCTCGAGATTCAATAAAGATAGATCAGTTAATAATCAATAATTAAAGATGTCATGAGTAAGTGAGTAAGTGAGGACAGGCGTGCTTTTTACGAATTGAGAACGCGAGATAGTGAAAAATGATTGGCATTAATGTCTTGAGGGCTAATGATCCCTAGGAGATTTTCATCTAGACGAGTCGAAAACTGCCGCTTGCTGCGGCTGAATTTTCAGTTGAAAAGGTGTGTCGAAGAACTTTCAACGTTAGCAGCATCTATTGCGTTTTCATCTTTACACATCTCGAATAACTGCAATTTGTCCACGATCTTTTTTCGATTATCGACAAACTTCATTTCGATTTGGCAGCAACTATTTATGATTTCACTAAAAAAATTAACCACGAGCTAGATTTTATGTCAGTTTCAAGGTATTTTTCTTTATTTTATTCCTCTTTTCTTCTACTGAGTAATAAGAAAAATTAACAATTTCTGCAAAAGTCAACAAATTATAATTGAAATAATAATTGCATGAAATCAACAAATGATAATTGAAAAAAAAGATATTAACATAAATGTATGTATATATATGAAATATATGTGTCGCCAAGGTAAAAATTTTACTATATATCTGAAGATGTTTATAAGACTGTTAGATGAAAAAAAAACTTATTTTTGGAGTTGACCCATCCAAAGGTCATCTCTTAATAGCCAAGCCAGAAATGGTAGATGAAATTAGAAGAAATGTTGATTTTGGCTATTACTGACTGAATTTGATGTGGCAAGGATTTTTTTAAGTCTATCTAATTCATAATATGCTTGAGAATATTGAGAAAAATATTGAGAAAATTTCCTTATTCGCAGCATAGCATGCTTTTTGCATAGTGCCTCAAGAC